TGTTTGCCCTGGGGCCCGGGCTGGCTCTCGATGTTCCTGTTAACTGATGAAGAAACTCGTACAGAGTGTCTGAAATAAAAATAAATTGTAATAACCTGACCATTACCCTATTTTATAAAGATCAAGCCTTTTCTAAAACATATAATTAACACGTTCACTGCTGCATAATAAATTAAGTATAAAAAAAATCAAACATTCAAGAGGTGCCAAGGAGTAGTCACAGTGTCCCAAACTCATATGCTGCAAGAGAAATGTGTCTTCAAAACATAATTGTCTGTGACCCACAAGTGGGGCACATGGCAGCAAATGCGTTAATAATTATCATTATGTAATCTACATTTCTACTGAAATCAAATACAGTATGATGTTAATTGATTTACATACAAATAACACTATATATTCAATTTTTTTAGATTTTAAAATGAGCTTCATGATTTTGCTTTAACCCTTTCACTGTGCAATTAATTTTCAGGTCGATTCCCGAAAAGTGTCAATTATCCACATAGAAATGCCTTTCATTGGCAAATTTTAAAGCCTCTATTATATATTAGCATGTAAGAGGATATATATACTATAATTCTTGAAAGTCACTGATAAGTATAACAAACATAAATAACTCACCTATAAAGCAATAAAATCAGCTCCAAAACCTAGAGAGTTAAACTGCACAACTCCATGTGGTCAGTCAGCTGAGACATATAAACATCCAGATTTCACAGTACAGAACACAGATGGCAGCACGCATGCAAGTTTGTCAATTGTTTCAAGTACAGGGGGATATTCCCGCATGTCACATTAGAGGGAAACTTTTTTTGGTAGCCGTGGGGTAAATATGAATTTCACGGTTAGTGGGTATAACTGTTTATTTGGATATATCCGAACTACGCAACAAAAGGGTTAAAGGATCAATATTTTATTTGGAAAGAATCAAATGGATCTACTTGAGTTAACCATATAGTTTATTATCACAATTAACTTTAGCTACACTAGAAAGAAACTTACAGAAGACATATCACCAATCTCTTCATCTAATGACAAGTATTTAAATATAAAGAAGTAATAACAATAACTAAAAATGGAATTTGTGGTATAGATAGTCATGACAGCACTCATGACTTCAAACTATTATAAGAATATATCACAAGAACTTGATTATTTACATTATATAAAACAGCGCTATACAAGTAAATTGCAATATTACTGTGAAAATTATACTGAAATTAGTTTCCACAATTAGAAACTTGTATATGTATATATAAAGATATCTACCTAAGTGTACTGATGAGAACAGAAATTAAGAACTACAATGGCAAGTATAAATGTTAATTATTTAGAATAATGAGAGGTAAGCACTATTTATTCTCTTGCCTTAAAACTTAATCTTCTAACATAGTCATGTATTTTTAGTGGTAGAAATGTTATTAGTGAAGTATAAAAATTTGAAAATATATATATATATATATGTACATCTGACAGAAATTAAAGAGTGAATACCTTTTAAACTTTTCTATACACACAAAGAAAACTCTTACAATTCATTCTTAATCACAAAAATATCATATAACCCCAATCAATATAGCAGTTTTAAGTACTGCCAGTACTAACTATTATACGTGGAACAAAGTGGCCTACTACGCATCAAATTCCGTATTTCAGAATCATTCTCTATCAGTAAATTATTACACTATTAAATATCCAAAGAAATTTTTTTAATATTTCAAAAATTATATTCTGAAGTATTAAAGACAAAGGTTCAATGTAGTATGTTTAAGGATTTGAAAGATATTCTAAAGGAAGATTCCTGATTGATAGATCTTATTGTATACATTCAAATAAGGAGTTAAGCTGTTTTACAAAAGAAAAGAAGCATTAGTGTTTTAAGAAAGAATGAATTTCACAATAAAGGTTAACATGTGAGTAATACTTATTTAAGCTACTTTTTTAATGATAAACTACCTTAAATAACATTACTTCAATTTCTGTTTTAAGGTAATAAAAGTGATTCAACAACAAAAATTATATGGTGTCCACAAGTGGCTGTGCACAACTTAAAATATCAGACTTATTAAACGAAGAACATTAGAAACATTGTAGAAGACAAGTTGGTTTAAATATTTGTCTGTTTTATAATACTGTCTGCACATAGCCATGTCAGCCTCAGCGTATTTCATCAGGCATCCTTGCCTTGTGAAATACACCCAAGTACACATTCTGGAATTGCATCAACTGTATCCTTCATATGATCACTGAGATCAGTATGCTGGATGTGGAGTTTAAACCTTAGGCTTGGCATGTCTCCCACAGCCAAAATCCAACAACATTAAGTCTGAAGAATGTGGTAGCTAGAGTAATGGCTTTATATAGTTAATCCAACAATTTCTATGGCAGTATTTAGTGCCTCACAAACACATACAAAATGGGGTGGTACCCCATCTTACTGGAAGAACATTGTGCTAATAACACCATACCATTTTGAGACCAACATCTTTACCCTTGTTTGAAAGTTATTACATATTAAGATGTGTATAACGACTTGTTATATAGAAAACCTATATTTTGTTTTACACTACATTTCAGACTTCTTTCTGTAACAATGTTTAAAACAAAATAGTACTGACATTTGAAACAAATATACATCTTTTACTCATCAAAAACATACAAATTTCCCACAACAGTGGAAAATTGAAATTTACTCAGAATAAAAGTTTCATGTTATAATAACTTCATGTTTACCTTGCACTGTTACTTATACATTTCAATAAACACGTTATAAATCATGTAATATTGAATGTTCATGTGGTACAGTGTTGTGTAATGATAAAATTTAACTCTCATCTACAAATGTAAGCAATGTTATGATGTTGCACAACAAGAGTCCAAATGGACACACTGTTATATAATCAAATAAATAGTTAATATGGTGTTTAGACAACAATTTTATTAATAATATATGCTAACAGATTTAACATATTTTATATTTTGAAAGGAAAGGGTCAAGCAGTTGAAAGCAGTGCACCCACCTTGACCTTTCAGCATCAAGTACACTGTTCAAACAAAAACAACAGAGCTAGTAACTATCTGAGTTTGAGAGTTCTTATATTAACTAAGTATGTCAAGTTTTTCATACGGACCTAAATGTCAAAACATTCCACAATTTTTACCATCAAGTTAACTGTACAAGTGCCCTGAATTTTCCACTCAATATATGTAACACCTACACGAAACAATATAATTATGTACTTCATCATAATCAGACAATAGAATACACAAGGAGTGCTCAGTCTCCTCCTTTAATGAGAAATTAAAAAAAAAGAGCACTGGGGTCCACTTGAATCCCCATTTTCAAGATAGGGTTAACTAAAAAAGTATATCAACAACATTCAATTTGTTCCTATTTCTACTCTTTATCACATTTACATTGTTAGAGAGTGAGTATTTCTTTAAGAAAAATTAACAATCGTAACCTTACTCCTTCTTTTCTATACAGTTAAACAGTTCACTGGTGATTTAATAGAAGTTGTGAAACACTTAGAATTATAAATCTTGTAGATAATAATTTCTGTATGAATTATGTATAATGAAATCTCACCATTTAATCAGGTGAAAGAGTAGCAACATCTACCATAAACAAGACAAGTACCCTCAAATTTGTGCCAGCACAAAACAAACTAATTACACTGTACAAATCTTCTTTATCAGAGTTCTGATGTAAACTCTTTCAAAATTAAATCAAAAGTGTATATACATATATTACCATTTGAATTTATCTGTGCTAAATACTGGTCCCCTGGAACATGAATTAATGAGATCCTCAATCTGCATGTAATGACTCAAAAACTATTCTCAAAAATGAGTAACTTTAGTATACATTCCCTAGATAAATACTTGACACAAGAAATACTAAATACAGTGATTGTTAGTATGCTTTTATATAACACATCTAACAACCAGCATTGGATGGTATTACGTTTTCAGCAAATAGTCTTTTCCTTTTTTGGATATTAATCAACATTAAAAATAAAATTGAAAGTTAAAACATGAGGTATTGGTTTTTTTTTAAGCTTGATGATGTACTTTACATTTTACAATTGCAGAAGTGAAAATATACATTAAGCATGCTAAATGAAAAACTGAGTTTATTTTCTTGACTTAATTATAGAATTAAAACCCGAGACACAGATTAGTTGTTATTGTTGGTTTTTTAGTGCACAGCAATGGGCTATCTGTACCGTGTACACAGTGAGGAATCAACCCTAAATTTGAGTATTGCAAATCATGAAACTTACCACCGATCCGCCGTGGGTAAGGGATTAAAGAGATTTATGTTTATATGAAAATGAAGAGTATGTTTTGAATCTTTTAAAAATAAACATTTTTTATCTTGTGGTTATTTACCGAGATTTTGGGTGAAGTAAGTTCATAATCATACTTTAAGAGCTGACAGTTGAGTGGAGTGAAAGAGCAAAACAAAAAAAATATATATATATATATGTATATATGGACAAGGAGCTTTCCAAGCTCCAACATACAAATGTTTATATAATCTACAAGATATACAATAGTAAATAGTTACTATGATTTCTTACATCATATCTAATAAAACTCATGTAAGTTATGACATTGTAAAATGTTATGACATTAGTAAAAATAGTCATTGGTTCAACAAACAATTGGTAAAACAATAGATAGCTGAATACCTTCCCAAACTATGTTTTAAGTTCGAGACATTTGTTTTGACTCAAGTACATAATACAGGAAAATCAGTGAGTCTAATATCTAGTGTGCTACATGAAACATAATATTCGGTAACTTACTACATACACACATTATATGTAATGAATTACATCTGCAAACATAAACATTAAGTATTCACCCAAAGATCCAATAATGACCAATTCTTCATTGTTCCATACTGATATATGTACATTATTTGGTGATAATGTACATTTCGGTTGAATTTACATAAAATGGCATATCATATTAACAAAAAAAGAAAATAAATATACATATATTAGGGCCCCAAGAAGCTTTGAGATTCGATTTGTTAGTTAGGGCTCCAATTCAATATTTTTTGAATCTACATCACTTCCAGTAAACTTCAGAGTTTAGTTTTTAATTCAGTCTATATACTGGAACCCATTTTGTTGTAATAACACTATTGTACCATTCTTCTTCAAGATATTTAAGCACATTATATCTTTTATTTTTAGAAAGATTTACTTTGTCTTTTGTTCTCAGAAAGATGTATTTTTTATACTCATTATTAACTATGTGTAGAGGCATTCTCTATTTAATTTAAAATTTAATTCAGCCTATATATACCCTATAATCTATATATGCACAGCCAATTTGATTTGATTCGAAAAACTTTTGTGATTCGCAGGCCCTGAAATATACATGTATACATACATGCACATAATTTATGTTGATTTGATTTATGGCATATGCTGAAAAATTAACACAAAAATTTCTAATATGTTGTACATACTAAATATCCTGTTGTGCATATCCAATTATCTTGGGTTATTTCTTCACTTTCATAATGAAAGTTATTCAGATATTCACATTCTATATTTAAAAATCAGGCTTGATTTGTTGTTAAAAATGAAAAAAACCATTAATTTTACACCATTACATTGATATGTTCCAACAAAATGTACTTCATTAAAAAAAATTAATCTTCAATAAATATAGATAACATAAATGTTATGTTTCAACAGCAGTAAATAAAACTTCTAAGACTGTCCTATGCTGGTAGACCACTCTGTAGCTGCAGTATACGGTAATTTCACTAACAAATATATCAACTTTGAAATTAGATTTGGCACACATTAATATGCAAATGAAATGAATGACTTAAATTTACATAAACAATATAGTGAGAAAAAAAAAAAAGACAGTCTAAGACTGCTATGAACACATATTTGTAGAGGAGGGGGTGTTTACTAACTCACTAACAGCAGCATGCACAGCTACAACCTTGTTGTGTGGGGAATTCAGTTTTCCTGCTAACTCATCTATTGCTGTATGCAAAGCCTGAACTTTTATGGTGATATCATCAGCAGGAGGAGGGAGACAAGAAGAAAAGCCTGGATGTTCAACATAGTAGTTCTGTGCCAAAGGACTCATAATAGAACTAATAGGGGTTGTGCTGATGACAGGACTAGGGTTCACAGGACCATATGGAGAAGCTCCCATAGAAACTTGACCATGTTGTACTGAATGGAGATAAGTAAAAGGTTTGTGGTCGGATGAAAAGTCGGGTGTAGAGTAAGGTGGGAAATAACTAGAAGAAGTATGAAAAATATCCCCCAGTCTAGAAGACTGAGGGAGAGTACTCTCTCCACTGTTTTCTTCTGCTGAGAGGACTGTCTCAGGAACAACAGATTCAGGCTGAGTACAGACTTCTGGGCATTCTGTTTCCTCCTCATTAGACTTTTCAGATTTTTGCAAAGGGCCAACTCCATCAACATCATGATAATTTTCTTCTTCAGTACAACCATACTTTTTTAGCCTCTTAGGGGTGTTTTTCCTTCGTTTTGTTGCTTTAGGTTCAGCTTCATTTAATGGTGTGTGGTAATCCTGAGCATTATTCATTGGTTGACTTGGTGTTAAAACATTACTACAGTTCATATGGGACTTACAGGAATCAATCTTTTTGCCTGTCACTTCTTTTGTTGTTGCTACCTCAACACTACCATGTTTTTCCTTCATATGCCTTTGTAGATTACCTTTGAGTGTAAAAGAACTTCCACAGAAAGAGCACTTATGGGGTTTGCTATTTTTGTGAAGAGCCATATGAGCACGAAGATTATGAGCTCTTGAAAGGCCTTTACCACAAATTGAACATGAATAAGGTTTAACTTCTGAGTGGGAAACCATGTGAGCTCGTAGTGTTTGGGCTTGAGTGAACTTCTTACCACAAACTTCACAGGAAAATCGCCTGTCTGCACTGTGAACCAACACATGTCTTTCCATGTTTGCCTTAAGAGAAAAACTTCGTCCACATATTGGACAGAAAAAAGGTTTCACAGAACTATGGGTCAATCGATGTGTTTTCAAGTGATGCTCTTTCATAAACTTCATCCCACATACATTGCATGAATAACGTCGAGTCTGTGTATGAACAATCATATGATCTTTCAGTTGACTTGGATACATAAAAACACGTTGACAAACCTCACATGTGATCTGATGTACCTTTTTTCTTCGTCCTCCAGTGGACTCCTCAACATTATCTATGTTTTGGCCATGGTTTTCACCTTCTACATATGTACCCTCTTGTTTGTGCTTTTCTAAGTGCACCCTTAACTCACTAGGGAAAGCAAATCTACGTTCACATAGGTGACATTTGTGGAAATTTCCTCTCTGATGTATTAACATGTGTCGTTTAAGATGAGCTACTTGACAGAACCTTCTCTGGCATGTTGGGCATTCATGTGGTCTTCTGTCCGAGTGTATTAATTGATGAGCATTTAAATGACTTTGTTGTTTAAAAGATTTGTTACAAACTTCACATGTGAACCTTCTTACTCCAGCATGCCCTAGCATGTGAGTAACAAGATTATGTTTAGCAGTATAAAGTTTTGAACATAGGCTGCACTTCCACCGCTTTTCACCATTTTCTGAAACAATGAGACATTGATCAACATTCCACTCTCTTTCTAGATCACTTAAATTATTATTCTGATTCCAGTTGCCACCAGAACCATCATTGAGAGAATGTGGAATATCTATGATTAAAGAGTTTGAATCTTTCTCTGATTCTAAGTTTCCAAGTAAAGTGTGATCATTGCAGTGATTCAATTCTGGACAGTCCATGGTCATTACTTTAATTAGAACTGGATGTCAGTACAACTCATGATTATCTTCTTGTACTCCCTACAGAGAAAGAAATAATCAAGCATTAGAACTGTAATCTTACCTTAAAAAAACTAGTGATTCATCCTATCAGTTTAACTGAATGAGCACAGAGTCAGCCCAATGAACCAACCTCTCATTGGAGAAGGAATGGCAACTATAATTTCAAATTTTCTACATGTATCTACACAAAACGTGGCAAGCTTTTAGTAAAATGCACAAGTCTATTGTACACAAATAATCAGATGTGTTACAAAAGTGTCTCTTCTCAACATGTCTGTGAATTGACAACATTAATCTGACTTGGACAAGTAAGAATGCAAGGTGATGTTCATGTGAAGAATAAAAACACTTGTCCATCATACAGTCTGCATCATTTGCATAACCCCAAGAACCTCTGAAATAAACATTTACAGTTTTTTCAGTATTCCTGTATATTGTATCTGGTATTTACTCTACCATGAACTGTCTATAAATCAGCTATATAAAATAAAATAATCAATAACTCTGACATTAAATACATAATATCACGTTGAATGGCACTCTGAAAAAGTCATGGCATGCATATTTTGACCCCTACCTGTGCACATAAAATTAACTGATCTAAAAGAAAAAGGAAGTGATTCCCAAGATGACAAATTTGGGAAGGATTTTTCTAAAATTCCATTATATTGTAGAAGCTGTTTAGAAAGCTTTGGGAAATACCCAGAAAAAGCTCCTGGACATAAAAAGATTTATTGTTAAGTGTATAAACTTAAGTCCAGCAAAAACTTAATGAGAGCTTGAACTATTTTCCTTTTCAAAATTCTCTTGAAATTGAAGAAATTCTTGATCAATGAAAGATTGGCAATGTGATCCCTATTTAAGATGTAAAAAAAAAGCAATGGAGAAACCATGAAACTAAAGGTCAATTAGTTTGATTTGTACTGTCAGCCATGTATTCAAAGCTACTGAAAAAATCATCTTGAAAAGTATTTAGAAGAGTTGGCATTCAATTAACATTTCTCAGGAAGGTTTTCTTGTCTTACTAGCTTGCTAGAACCATAATTGTTTTTTAATGATGGTAGTCTTCCTGGTATTGTACATTTAAACTTTCTGTCTAATGTTTAAGAACATTATGCATTTTGGATTCCAAAGTTTAAACTTAATACCCTCTAAATTAAGTTTATATTTCCAATCTTTTCATTCCACTAATCCGACAACCAACAAAAAAGATTATCCAATCCTCAAAAAATGTTGAACATCTGAACCAAATCTTCTCACACAATTTTTCTGCACTTCATAGTGACTTAAACTAGAAATCTTATATGTGAAGGTTTTAAAAATTTCTCTAAACTATGGTAATTGGTAACGAACTGGCCAAACGAGAAAGATTAGAATTGTTTGTCTGTTCTGACAATCCTTTACCAGACTTACATAAGAATTAATATCAGTTGTTGCTAGTCAAACATTATTCATAAAATAAAATAACATTTTACATCTATTGCATCTGATGTCAGCCATTTAAAATAAAACCTTTTAAGTTGATTCATTCACAGAGTTTAATAAGTATGGAAACTAATTGAACACTACTTTTAACTTTACTATTGATTAAGTTCCATCTTTTGTACAGTGGATTTAGAAGTATAAAAAATTATAGATTTCTAAAATATCTTTAAATAAATATTAATACACCAGTATTAAATTTTTTGATGTGATATACTTAGGGTGACCATATTTCAAAAACAAAAACTGGGACAGACAATGCCAATAATTTTAAAATGGTTATTACAAATTTGAAATAATCTAATTTTTATTCAATTTACTTTAAAATGATTGAATTGTTCCACACTATTTCAAATATATATATATATATTAACACTGTCATTGTTTTTGAAATAATTTCAACTACTTTTGGTGATAGACACACATCCATTAACTGCTATATCTGAGTGCTACTACTAGTAAGCACTAGTCAAATCATCACAATTTATAGTTATTAAACTTAATTT